TACATTTTCGAGTAGTACAATTTAATTTATTAGACTATTTCAAAGGTTTGTCGCATGGTTGCTTCCAACTTCTTAAAATTCGTACTATTTGTTAACGAAACAACTGTTGGTGAAGTGATTGTTGATAAAATGAATCAAACCAACATTTATTTTTACGTTATCAAATTCACGATTTTGATTGGTAAAAATTTTGTTACTATTACCTGTTCTTGTTCCTTCATTCAAACAAATAATTGTTCATAACACAACACTATTTGGAATGTAATTATTTTTTATGTGTCAATACTTAATAAACGTTCTGGTCCTGGGGTAATGTTTGTTTCTTGACATATTTACCATAGAATTGAGTTCGCAATATATAAATCTATGTCTATTAAATAATCATCAACTACCTCTTTTCACATAAACATTTATTCCGTCCGTTCATTGATTCATATCCTTTAATTATTTTTGTCTGCATATATTTTTATAATAAAAATTTAATATCCAGTTTATTAAATATGTTGATGATGGTGTTAACATTACTTTTATAACAAAGGAGTCTCGTCCATTTATTTATTTATAAGTCTAATTATATAATTTTATGAAACAAAATAACAGTCAAAACTCATTACAGTGGACTTTTTTGTTTTCATTTATAATATTTTTATAATCAATAACTTGGGGGTTCCTAACCGTAATTATGATTCCGTATTCGAATATTCGTAAATCTAAAATTACGAATTTTCGGATACTCGTAATTATTTCGGATACTTGTAATTATTATTATTTTGAATGTTCATTATTTCAGATACTTGCATAAATTCTAACAGATTATTATTAATTTTTTCTTGTTCTTTAATTGATAGTTTCTTTTTGGACATCATCAATTTGATTGTGCTATATCAAAAAATTATTAATAAATTATATACTAATACTGTATATCAATCATACAAATCAAAAAAATTACCATCATTTTTTATCAGATGTAAGCATATTATGACATTTTAAAAATGATTTATACAATTGAAGTATTAGGAAAAATTTCCTGCAAGTTTTGAAAGAATTACTTTTTAAATGAAAAGGTTTTCTGAACAAATATTTTTTTAATTGTGTAAAAATATGTTATATTTGAAAAATGTTTGTTATATATATATAGTAGGATAATTTACAAATAAGATTGTACTATTTTTTATCAATCAACAATCATTCATGAATTGTCACAATATTATCATAACAATGTTTGAAACGATTATATTCAAAATAAATACAAGTATCCAAAATAATTACAAGTATTTGAAATAATTACAAGTATCTGAAATAATTACGAAATAAATTGTAAATTGATTTTTGAATATTTGTAAAAAATTTGATTTTTGGTTAGAAAAAAAGAAAAAATAAACATATTAATATGGAATCAAAGGTCCACCTGATTTGAGTGTATTTAATAAATAATAAATAATAATAATAATAACATTCACTTTTATCCGTTAATTAATAGTCAATTTCATTGACCCACAACTTCACAGTAGGGTCAGGTCTAAGAGTCATATTTGCTTTACTTGTAACTTTGAAACCTTTGACTTCATGGAACTGGAAGTTTCTTAATAAATTGCACAAGATAACTTTTGCTTCATTTAATGCAAGCTTATTACCAATACATGATTTTGGCCCAGCTGAAAATGGCATAAAATTGTAATGAGTAAGACCTTTAACCTTTTCTGTAAACCAACGTGATGGATTAAAATTTTCAACATCTTCACCCCAAATTGATGGTGAATGATGAATTTGATAAACTGGTACAAAAATTGGTGTGTCCTAAATTAATTTATTACCATTAGTAATATTATAAAGATAATAACAGGATGCATAAATAAA